TTTTTTTTTTTTAATTTTAAAATTAATACATCATTTTATTTTTATCTTATTAAGCATACTTTTAATAACTAATTGGTTTAATAGAATAACAAAATATTTAAAATTGCATTAATAATTTCAATAATAGTAATAATAATAATAATAATTTAATTTAATTTTTTCAACCAACTCAATTGTGTGGAACTTTTAATTCTGTAAGTACATTATTCATTATATATTATTTTATGTTGTATAATATTTTATTTGTATATGCGCGTGTGCACATGTTTGATTACTAGTATATAATTATGTCTTATGAAAAATAAAATGGTATATATATTCATTTATTAACATCCTAGGTCCCAACTATATCTCAATCATTAACAAATTTTATAATATTAGATGAACTTCAATTTGAATTGTGTCATTTTCGTTTCTTTATTATTATTATCATTAATAATAATAATAATAATAATAATAATAATAATATTATTATTATTATTATTATTATTATTATTATTATTATTTATTTTGCACAAAATTTACTGGATGGCTTGCATCATTTCGTTCAGTAATGGCAAGAGGATAAAGTTGAGTGATTTCAAGACACTTTAATTTGTAACAATTATGTTTAACGAAATTCCTTAGCTAATGACAACACAAGCATGGAGGCACGGGTATTATATATCCTTCATATGATCTGTGAATCCTCATTTCTTATTTTGTATTAAAAAAAATTATTTATCATATAATCGAAAATTTTAAATTAGACAAATTACTATAACATACTACATATATTTACCTAATTCATATCATGTTTATTAAAAAAAAATCATCGAATTGCATAGTAATCACATCCAATTTCAAATTAAAAATTAAAATTTAAAAATCTCTTATCATTTGGTTATTACTTTTTTTTGTTCGATTTTTTTAAACATAAAATTGAGTCAGAATATTAAGTGAAATCGGATTGGAACATCCTATAAATTTTGGGTTTTGTTTAATCCTGTATAATACAAATTTGAAATTTATTTTATACACCTACAAAATATCATATATATCATGCTAAATAATTAATTGATTTATTTAAGCATATCTCGAATTCTAATATAATTTGTGGTGATAGACGATATATCAAAAGACCAAACAACAAATAATGTTGTGTATAAGGATGTGTTTAATAATATAAAAGTTACATTTTGTTTATTCCAATCGTGTTTTGCGTTCTTCCAATCATCCAAATCAAAATGTTTACCTTAATAAAATTAGCTGGTGCGTGACACATGTACCTAGGGCTGTAAACGAGCTAAAAAATGAGCTCGAGCTCAGCTCGTTAAGGCCTCGAGCTCGAGCCTTAACGAGCTTTAACGAGTCGAACTATAAAAAATTACACAATTTTCACTTTTCGAGTCTTAACGAGTCGAGTCGAGCTCATCTTGTTAACCAAACGAGCTTTAAATGAGCTCGAGCTCAGCTCGTTAAGGCTTTGAAATCGAGCCAAACCGAGCCTTAACGAGCCGAACTCGCGCCAAGCCAAGCTCGAGCCAAGTCGAACCAGACTCGTTTAATTTAACAGCACTACATGTACCGCACTAGTAAGCTTTAAACTAATTGGAACACAATTATATATTGATTTTATGGAAACTTCAATTTGTTATAAATTTTGTCATGTCATACTCCTACACGGCTTTTCAAAATCCGCAAGTCTCCTCCCCACCAAAAAAAGGCTTTAAATACTCCCTCAAAAGCAACATATTACTTAAAATCGCCATGGAACCAGACGGGGCCCCACAGCCACCAACCTTCTGGCATCCACCACCCACATACCACCGCCACCGCCGCCGTCCTCCGCCGTCTCCGCTCATCAATCCGGTGTCTCTGATATTAGCCGTGCCAATTATCTTTATACTCGTCGTTTTTTTCCTAGTCCCTCCATTTTTGCACTATTCAAATCAAATCTTGAGGCCCAACTCCGTCAAGAGGAGTTGGGACTCTCTCAATATCTTGCTCGTCGTGTTCGCTATTCTATGCGGCGTTTTCGCCCGCCGGAATGAAGAGGCTCCACCGCCGGACGCCGCCGCCGCGGCCTATAGCCGGAATACGGGCCGTGTTTCGAGTGTGTCCAGCACGAGGCCGAGGCAATCTGTCCCGGCTTGGCTCGAGATTCCAGATCGGAGGGAATATGATAGTACCTCCGGCGGGCTGAGGCGGAGCAGGAGTTCCTATCCAGATCTGCGGCAGGAGTCGCTGTGGGAGAGCCTGGGCGGAGGAAGCAGGTCTAGGTTTTTCGATGATTTCGAGGTGGGCTTTTCCCGTTCCACGCCGGTGAGGTCGCCGGTTTACTCGGAGGGCCGACGGGAGCGGCGGACGAGTTTCGAGATGAAGGGAGAGGTCGAGGTGCCCGTCACAGAGATCCTGGTGGATAAATTGGATGTTCGCTCCGACCCGCCGCCGCCCAAATCGCCGGCGCGTACCCCGTCGCCACCACCGCCGCTATCTGCAGCTACTGTGAACCGGAGACGGTCTCTCCAAAGTGTTCCTCACAGCGAAAACGCTGAAATCCGGCAACGAGGTGAGGCTGAATTTTATATCAATGAAAATCGTCGGCCGATGCCCCCTCCGGCTCCGCCTCCGCCGCTGGCCGCCACACCGGAACCTCGTATGCCGGAGGCTGGGAACGAATCGAGTCGCCGGAAAAAGAGCAGCGCCACGAAGGAGATCGCAACATCAATAGCCTCGTTGTACAGAGCCGGTCAGAGGAAGAGAAAGAAGAGATCTGGAAAGAGTCGAAATATCTATGAAACTGCCCCTCAAAATTCCTCGCGGCAGCCAATATCCACTCCGACGCCGCCGCCTCCGCCGCCCCCTCCGCCGCAGTCCAAAGTGATGCAGAACCTCTTCAGAAAGACCAGCAAGAGCAAACGTGTCCACTCCGTCTCCTCCACCGCCCCTCCGCCGCCGCCGCCACCACCGCCTCCTCCGAGCTCGATCTTGAACAACCTGTTCAGAACCGGCAGCAAGAGCAAGCGCTTCCAGCCGCCGCCCATATCTCCTGCCCCTCCGCCGCCGCCTCCTCCACCGCCTTCCTCCATACTTAATTCACTGTTCATAAACGGCAGCAAGAGCCGTCGTTTCAACAATAACTCCACCAACAGCCCCCCGCCGGCACCTCCCCCACCCCCAACCCCACCAGCGGCACCCTCACGCCGCCGCCAGCCCAGCGCCGGCAGGCCGCCGAAATTCACAAGCACCGTCTACGTGGCCCCACCGTCGCCGCTGGTCCCGTTGCCGCAGCCTCCTCCTCCGCCGCCCTTCAAGATGTCCAAGCCCACGTCCGTGGCCCAGGGGAATTTTGTCCAGATACACGGCGCCCATAGCTCCCGATGCATCTCGCCGGAGCTGGAGGATGCCGACGCTGACGTGGCGGCTAAATCCGAGGGCGTGGATCGAGTCGGGGCCCCGATCACCTGCCCGAGCCCGGACGTGAACGCAAAGGCCGACACCTTCATAGCCAGGCTCCGGGACGAGTGGAGACTGGAGAAGATAAACTCCATCAGGGAAAAGCGCGTTTCGGGCTGAATGAACACGCCCGGCCCGTTTTCAATCAAATCAGCAATCAATCTAACACTTTTACCGTGGTGGCTTGTTTTTTCACTTCTCTTTTTCTTTTTTCCTACAATTAACTTTTACATTTTTTTTTACTCTTTCTACTTTTGGTCTCTTGATTACACGCAAGAGGATACTGCATAATTACCTTATGTACAGCATATCTGGTGAGCTGGTATGTTGTACAAGGTAAATTTCACCATAAAGGTGTTCGGGTGTGTGTTAATTGTTGGTGAAAAACTCGGTGTGTACTCGACGGGGATATGACACCTCTATAATATCATGCTCTAACCAAACTCCCATTCTCCGAGGGAGGGGAGGGGGAAGTTACTCGTTGAACCCAGCCGGGTAAGATGCCGCCAGCCCCGCCAAATAATCGGCTGCCAATTTGCTTTCCTATGCACACGTTGGATTTTAACAGTCTTCGACCTCCTTCATTTAAAAAAAAAAAAAAAAAAAAAAACTCGGTGTGTACGTGAGTAAATATTGTGTGGTGTGGCTTCAGTCGAGCGTGTGTTTTTTCATTTCGACTGGAAGGGTTCAATTGTAGTGGATGAATAGTAGGTAGGTTAGATTTATATACTAAAAAATTATATAGTATATTATTGTGCCTGGTATTGAATTGTTCCGTACTCAAACTTATTATTATTATCATTATTATGGGTATATATATCTTATGTCCAGAAATTCTATGGTGCCACATTTGACACCATATTATGGTGCCACGACATGTGTTATTGGAAAAAAGTTTGATTTTGGATTTGTCATGTAAGATATGTGGCCCTTTTGAGTACAGAAATTCTATGGTGCCACATGTGGCACCATATTATGGTGGCACATTATGATTGGTGCCACAACTATCACACATCATGTTGTGGCACCAATCATAATGTGCCACATCATATTGTGGCACCATAACACGTGCCACATGTGGCACCATAGAATTTCTGCTTTTGAGTATGTGCATTGTACATTTGTACTGTACCCTCCATATTTTGAGGCTCATTTTTTGCGATTCATTTCGTTATTGCCTTATTCGTGGCGCTAGAACCAACCCAATTTTTCGAACGCCTACACCCAACAAAACTCAATAGACACATTAGAGAAGATGGATTACAATGGATTTTTCAACTTGATACACTAATTATCCTAAGACCCGGTTAAATTGCAATTTCCACGAGCCTGGACAGGTTTGCCACCTCCGATAACCTGCAAAACGGTGTGAGGATTCTCGACGGAAAGAGTTTCGACGCTCAAGTCAGTCCGTACACAATGAATAATAAGAACAGTTGTATTTGAATCTATGTGTTGTGAACATAGAGAATTTGAATTCTCTTTTATACTTAGGATTACTTGATAGTCAACACACTCCTAGTCATGAAAGAGATCTTGTCAGACAACGAAGCGCATTACTTGGTGGCAAGACGCTTCACCTATGACCGATAAGTCATGGGTTCGAGTACCGAGGAAGAGAAGTGGAAACATTATTGATCCTCCTTTTAATTTGACAAAAAAAGAGAGAAAGAGATCTTGTCATATCTACTTTCCTAATTAACCAGATTTCTCGTATCTTGAGTCCTTGAAGTTAGACACTTCATATCCTCAAAGGATTCTTTCCCCTCCTGCTATATGACTCTTAGGTCTTGAGGTCACAATCCTGACCCCTTACCTTCCTACCACAAGTATGTCGAGGTCATACGCTTGACCTCAATCCTACCGACCTACATATTGTGAGGTCTCTTCCGTCGCATGATCTAAAGATTGTTCCCATCAAAGAATGTCTTTTTCAAATTCTCCACACGCGTCTATCCTCTATTTTGTCGATCTGCTTTTGAAATCAACGTCCCTGATCACCCAACCTTTCACTTATAACACATGTCCACCTCCCTTAATCTTGACCACCCAACATACACTCGGATGACTGGGATGCAATATTGAGAGTGGCTTACCGTCTTTCTTCTTTATAAAAGTTGTACCAGTGAACCAGTTACAAACTTTTCCTTTTCCGCGCTTTTGAAACTCCCATGAGCAAAAATAATCCAGCGACCTCAAGCATTTTTTAGTGATCTTCCGTTTTTGGATCTCTTCTATCGCAATCATCATGTCGAGCAACTTCATATATGTATGTATCCTTGAACTCATCTAGTCATTTCCCCTTTCGTTTTTTTTTTTAATTTGGTATTATACTCCAACTGCCATGCTTGTTCCTGCAATCTTTTCCATTCATAAAAAATCCAACAACCATATCGAACTCTGACAATACTTCGCCCTCAAACTCCAAACTTGTAGGGGAGCCATATTTAACCCTAACTCTCTCTATGCCTCATCGTATGGCCGACCGGGTCGCTATGGTCGTTGGCGTAAAATCCAAAAGACTATGTTCATTTGTATAGATAGTCAAACCTCACCCCATTTTCTTCCATTCGATTGACCGTATGACCAACCTCCTTTTTGTGATCAAGCTCCCTCGCAGGTGGGATTTCAGAATCCCAAAAACTGAAGACACATATTATCAACCTCCTCACGTTATTATACCTTTTTCCTTGACCAGGCGAGGTCGGGCTAAAGCTACCCTTTAGGGACGACATGGTAGAGCTCAGCCGGTTGTACAGACTACCCTTAAACTAGTTATCACCGAACTCAATTTGCTCCTTGGCCGAGTTTATCACGCTCTGTCGAGCTCGATTCGCGCCATTGAGATAAGCACGAGGGCGACCTTTTCAACTTTAGAGTACTTTGGTTCTGGTCCCTACAATATTCTGCTAGTAAATAAGATCGGCCTCTGCTGGCCACCTTTCTATTTCTATAATACAAAATTGATAGTTATTTTGTCCAACAGATAAATCTATGACCAGCTCATCCCCTAGCTCTAGATTTGTGAGCAAGGGGAGCTCGACTTAAAACTCTTTTTCCACTCAAATCGATACCCCTTCTGCAGAGCCTGAAAGAATGAAAAGTGTTGGTATGACTCATATATTGACAAAGGAAGGAGGCAGGCTGATGCCTGGGAGCGTAGCGGAGTGAGCGTAGCGAGGGAAGCGGAGTGACCGAGCGAAGCGAGTATTTAAGTAAATTAATGCCTTGTAGGGTTATGATATAAATACATGGTGTATTGATGTATTGAGAATGATTTATAATAAAAATATATCGCTCAGCCGCCGTGGACGTAGGCACATTGTCGAACCACGTAAATCTTGTGTTGTTTACTTTTTCGTTTTTAATTCGTATGCCATATTGTCATCTTCTCTCAACAAAAATCTCTTCTCTCTAGATTGGGCTATGAATCTACTTAGGCCAGCCAGGCGACCAGTAACAGTAATGACCTAAATTAACCTTTTTAAAATCCTTGGTTGCTGCATATCAAGAACAACCCACACTCTTTACGAGTTCACCTCGATTCCTCTCTCTGTGACTAGATAACCCAAGAACTTGCCCCACCTCACCTCAAACTTGCACTTTGTCGGGTTAAGCTTCATATAATAGTCCCAAAGAGTGTTGAAAGTTTATCGTAATTTAGCAACGTGATTCTTCGCTCTTCTATTTTTCACAAACATACCGTCCACGCATACTTTCATATAGCGACTTACTAGTCCTTTGAAAATTTTATCCACCAACCGTTCGTAGGTCACCCAGTTTTTTTTAGCACTAAGGGCATCACCACGTAGCAGTATGTGTCCTTGGAAGTCAATAAACTACCCACTTTTAATCCTCATCCGCCAAAGGAATATGGTGGTAGCCATGAGAGGCATCCATCATGCTGAGAAGCTTGCATCCTGCGATGGAATCCACGAGTTGATCTATCTTGGGTAGCGGGTAGCGGTCTTTGGGACATGCCTTTGTAGAGGTCTCTGAGATCAATGCACATCCTCCACCTGCCTTCCAATTTCTCGACCATGACCGAGTTTGACAACCATTCTGGGAATGAATAGGTCGGATATGACATGCCTTAAGCAACTTTTTCACGTCCCCTCAATCACCAAATTGAGCTCTTCACAGAAGTGTCTCTTCTTCTATTTCATCAGCTTCATGGTCGAGTCTATATTCAGTCTATGCTCTGCCACCTCCGGGTTAATGCAAGTCAGGTCATCAGATGAAAAGGCAAAAATATCTTCTAATTTTTTTAGTAAGATGAGCGCAGACAGAATATCCGCCGCAATGTGGTGACCTACCTTAGTCACTTTCTCTGGCTCTTCCTCGATTAGCTCAATTTTCATGAGCTCGTCTTGGGAGCCGATCTCCACTTTCTCTTGCCATTTTCTTCGGTGTGAACTTTTGGGTTGATCTTATTCTCACTCTCGCTTCTTCCCTTGAGATTCAAAATCCTTCAGCATAACCTGGTAAAACGACCTAGCTTGTCGCTGGTCTTCTATTACCTCACCAACTACATTCTCTACTGAAAATTTTATCTTCATACAGTATGTCAAAACTGCATCTTGGAAAGAGTTGAGTCTAGGGCGTCCCAGTATAACGTTATATGCCAAGCTAGCATCCACGTTCAAGAACTGAACATCTTCACTTTTCTGAAAGACGACCTCCCTAGAGCCACAAGTAGGCGTACCTCTCCTATTGGAGTAACCTTGTTACAATTGAGCTTGCAAAAAGTCGTGTGTACATGTTCAATCTTCACATCAAGTTCCATTTTTCTCAAACACTGATTGTCCGCCGAGCTTCATGTGTCGATGAACGCCTGATGTATATCGTAGCCCGCGACCTCAATCGTGATGACCAACTTGTCATTATGCGAGATAAAAATGCTTTGTAGATCATCTACGTCAAACTTAAGTGTCGCCTCAGGTTTCTGCAACTTTACCTCTGCTACCTCATTAGCGACCTTCTTACCTCGATATGTTCTCTTCCTTTCGTATGAAAATCCCCATGAGTAGGACCTCTTGAATACACTCTTTTTGATTGGTCTGTCATCTTGCTCCTCGGGGCATCTCCGTTTGTTGTCGACCTCTCGGTCATTCTTTTGGCTTGGATGTGCCATTCGATTTCGTCCTTAAGCTCCTTACAAACGTTGGTTGAATGACAATCTTTGTGATATCTAAAGTATTCTCCCTTGTAGTAGATACATAACCCTTCTTTCTAAATTGGGGTTTAGGTCGGACAAGAATCACATTTCTCCTCACCTCTCCAAGACCTCAAGTATCTCCCGTTGAGGTACGTTCAGGGGTATATAATTTCCATATTTGCGCATCCAATAACAATCCTCCAACCTAGATTTCTTGTTCGGAGATTCTTATCACTCAAGCGAGACTTTTCTTTCATCTGTTTAGCTTTAGCCTTGTCATTTTGGAGGAAGTCGACCTCTTCTTCTTCCATGTTGACATACTTACTGTATCTTTCTAGAAGCTCGTCGAAAGATCTCGCAGACCTTTTTGCTAACGAGTCCCTGCACTTTCTTGGTCGCAAACCTCAAGGCTTTCTGTCTTGATTTCCACAGACGCTGAGGAGACCTCCATACACTCCCTCGTGTACTGAGCTACGTATTCACGGAGGGTCTCACTTTATTTCTGTTTCATGTTGATCAATGTTAGATACGTCTTCTCATGCTTTCTTGCACTTTCAAATTGGTTCATGAACAAGGAACCGAGCCTCTCAAAACTATTTACGGACCTAATTGTAGTCTAGAACCAACCTAGAACAGACAGAACAAACAAAAACATAAAAAACTAAGAAAAAGACAATCACGTGTGGAAAATAATTAAAGCTACCAAAAAGAGATTAAGGACACAAAAATCCGACAAAAAGAGAAAAAAAACCTGATATGAGAATAATACTCTCAACACCACCCAAAAAACTACCCCGTATCGCCACCACTCTAGCCAACTCCTGAGGCAATCAACCATTAGGACAACAAACCAACCCACCCAACATAGAATCAAGAAATCCCCTTATGGCTAACTCGATCTGGACCTACGGATCCAAAACCAACCCAAAGATGACCACCATGGCCAGCCCTAGGAGACTCGCACCACATCCCTCCCCCACCACGAAAGCTAAGAGCCGCAACCCAAGAAACCGCTCCCGTCCCAACAAAAAGGATAGCCGAAACAGAGGAAAACCGTGGCACAAGCCTCAAGCATAATCACCGCAGTGCAACAACCGACGCTAATCACTACACAACTCCGGGGAGTCATCACCAACTACCATGAAACCTCGAAGAAAGACGACACCCATTCAGATGAGGAGAAGAGAGCACGGTGGAGAGAGTGCAACCTGATTGGAAGCCGGCCCACACGCCAGACGCTGACACGGGGGTGCGGGGCACCCATTGAAGAGGGGGCGAAAAAAAAAATAGCGATCTAAGCTTTGCTCTAGTAATTTTTGGGAACGAGGATAAAAAAATTTTAGTGAGCATTATTAGTGTGTAATGCAATTTTTTTTCCCCCTTTCTTATTTATTGCAGGTTGCACTTGCACGTGAAGAGTTGAAAATTTTCAAAAAAGAAAAATAGGAACACACAGTGAATATTGCATACTAGTCCTTGCGAATTTGAAAAGTGAGGCAATCGTGAGAGTTTTGAAAAATGGTGGGGCGCCATAGACAACTACAAAAACGTGTCCTCTGAACCAAAATTGAGCCTTTCCTTTGAATTCAACACCTCTACACAGAGAGAGAGAGAGAGAGAGAGAGAGTTGAGACACGCAATCCAAAGAGCGGAAGGTCCGCCCCTAACATCGAAAGCCCTGACGAACACGCACAACACTACTTGTAAGATTTCTTGGTTATATCCTTCATTTTATTTTAGATTCGTAGATTGTTATTACATTTATGAGAAAGCTACTTCTGCTTTCATCACTTTATTCATCTTGTCGTATGGTAGCGGCGATAATTTCTATGTTTAGTTCTTGCTGTTTTTGTTGTTTTTCTTAGTTTCTGCAGATATGTCTGAACCCAATTTCCCAAAATCCAATCCGATTGCTTTTTACTTCTATAGTGTTGTTTCAAATTTCAATCAGATTATTTCTTATGCATAATTTAGCTTTTTTTTATTTTTATTTTAAATTTCGTGGGTTTTTAGTTCTGATTAAGCCATTTCAGATGTAATTTTCAGAAGCCTTTATCTGGATATGTAATTTTGAGTGGGAAAAACTGCGTGTATGTGCTGATTATGCAGTTTGCAAGATAATGCTGTCGAAACAAAATAGCCGGAAGAAGGGCTCTGGCCCATCAGGCAATGGAAGGAAGCTCCTAACCGACCTCGAGACCATGAGCAGCGCCTTTTACGCCCCATCGAGGCTCACCAGCTCAACCGCCAGTAGCCGGTCCAAGTCAGTCAGCAAAATTCCTGCCCAAGTACCCAAAAAAAAGCCGGACGACCCCAAGCCTCGGGCCAAACCCCCGCTCGACCAGGACAAGAAGCCCTCCATCTGGAGCTGGAAAGGCCTCCGGGCCCTGACCCAAGCCCGCCACCGCAGGTTTAACTGCACCTTCTCCCTCACGGTCCACTCGGTCGTGGGCCTGCCACTCTCCCTTGAGGGCTCCTGCCTTGTGGTCCACTGGAGGAGGAGGGATGCTGACTGGCCCACACGGCCCGCAAGGGTCTCCCGCGGGTCGGCCGCGTTCGGGGATGAGCGCCTCACCCACTCATGTTCCGTGTATGGGAGTAGGAGTGGACCCCACAACTCGGCAAAGTACGAGGCCCAACACTTTCTGCTCAACGTCTCGATTCTTGGTTCACCTGGGGTTGACTTAGGGAGGCACCGGGTGGACCTGACGAGGCTGCTCCCCCTCAAGCTAGAGGAGCTCGAGGAGGAGGATAAGTGCTCAGGAAAGTGGACGACCAGTTTTAGGCTGTCGGGCAGGGCGAGTGGGGCCACGGTGAACGTCAGTTTCGGGTATGACATGGCTGAAAATGTGTTCTGTGGTGAACAGTCGGGAAAAATGGATGACGGGTCGGAGGACGTGAAGGACCTTCACGAGGTTTTGCCGGTGATCAGCTCGGAGCTTTGTGACTCGGTGAATGTGCTGTACCAGAAACTGGATGAGGAGGCATGTAATGATTCGGTTGGGAATAAAGTGGAAGATGATTGTTTGGTATCTTCGTCCTTTGACCGACATGGTGTGGAATTATTATTAGCAGCAAATGATGATGGCAATCGAGCTTGCAGAAATGAATGTGAAATAGATGAATTTTCTGTTATAGACAAAGGTACAGTGGAGTCGACTGAAGAAAATGTGATACATGAAGACGAATCACGTGGAGATGGTCTAGAAGCTGACTTGGCTATTAAGGTGGCTCCTGATGAGGAGGGCTCCCCTCGTGCCTCGGGTGCCCTTCAAAATGATGAGCAACTGGAAAACATCTGTAATATTGAAAAGTGTGAGCAAGCTGAAGTTTTCTCCAAGGAATCACTCATGAAAGACCTGGAAGCGGCTCTAAGTTGTGCCACGGACTTGGCGAATGAAGTAGATTCTCAGGATGACGAGACTGACGCCATGAATGCTAAAAGTTATGTAGATGGTGAATCTGACTATGGAGATTGTAAAATGGGAAAATCGCCGAGTTTGGATGATGTCACTGAGGCTGTGGCCAATGATTTCCTGGAGATGCTGGGCATAGAGCATGATGACCCAATTATCTCAGAACCTGAATGCGAGCCCGAGTCCCCAAGAGAGCGCCTTCTTAGGGAATTCGAGATGGATTCTCTTGCCAATGGAGGTTTATTAAATTTTCTTGATTTCGAAAGTTCGTCATTGTTCGAAGATTCTGTGCACATGCCTAACACCAAGACGGATGCATTCGGGACTAAACCGAGTGCCTCGATGATGGAGGATCTGGAGACTGAGGCCTTGATGCGCGAGTGGGGCCTGGATGAGCACACTTTCCAACACTCGCCACCCGGGGGTTCAAGCAGTTTTGGAAGCCCGATCCACGTGGATCTTCCCGAGGATACTCAGCCTCTGCCCCCACTTGCAGAGGGTGTCGGCCCCTTTGTGCGAACGGAAAACGGAGGGTTTGTGCGGTCCATGAGCCCCGCGCTTTTTGAGAACTCGAAAAACGGGGGGAGCTTGATCATGCAGGTGTCGAGCCCTGTGGTGGTGCCTGCTGAGATGGGTTCGGGCGTGATGGACATACTTCAGGGCCTGGCCTCTGTTGGGATTGAGAAGCTTTCCGTGCAGGCTAATAAGTTGATGCCATTGGAGGACATAACTGGGAAGACGATCGAGCAAATTGCATGGCAAAGTGCTCAGAGTCTGGAGGGACCAAGGAGGTTTGCTATTGTCCTTTCCTTTTCACTATCTTTGGCATTTCCAGTGTTTTCAGCAGCATATTTCATATATTTTTTACTATTTTAGGCAAGATTTACAGCCGAATGAGTTTGGAATTTCAAAAAATGCGCGTAATGAGCGGAAGGGCGCAAACGGAAAATCCCATGTTCCTAATTCGAGCAAGTCCCACTGTAATCCGACTAGCAGTGACTCGGAGTATGTATCTTTGGAAGACCTAGCTCCCCTAGCCATGGATAAAATCGAAGCCCTATCGATCGAGGGCCTCAGAATACAATCCGGCATGTCTGACCAAGGCTCGGCTCCCAACATCACTACCCAGTCGATCGGCGAATTCTCGGCCCTCAAGGGAAAGACTGCGGGCGTAGACGGGCCAATCGGTCTTGATGGCACATGTGGACTGCAGCTAATGGACATCAAGGACGACGGCCAGGCCCAAGAAGGCGGCCCGGATGGGCTGATGGGCCTCTCCCTGACCCTCGACGAGTGGATGAAGCTCGATTCCGGAGAAATCGACGAGAATGAGCTCGCAAGCGAGCGGACGTCCAAGATATTGGCGGCCCACCACGCCACGTCACTCGAAGCCTTCAGGGGGAGGTCAAGGGGGGACAAAAGGCGTGGCAGGGCCCGCAAGTACGGTTTACTGGGCAATAATTTCACAGTTGCTCTAATGGTGCAGCTTCGTGACCCCTTGAGGAACTACGAGGCGGTGGGTGCCCCTATGCTCGCGCTCGTTCAGGTCGAGAGGGTCTTTGTGCCGCCTAAGCCGAAAATCCACGGCACAGTTTGCATGGTGAGGGACTCTGTGGAGAAAGAAGATGATGATGAAAATGTAGTTGAGAAGCTGAAAGATGAGGTTCGAGAAGAGGAAGTGATCCCGGAATATAAAATAACAGAGGTTAGCGTGGCTGGGCTGAAGGCAGAAGAAGGTAGTAAAAGGAAGTTGTGGGGTTCTTCTGTCAACCAGCAGCAGACCGGTTCACGCTGGTTGCTTGCGAATGGAATGGGAAAGAAGAATAGCAAGACTCAACCGATGAAGTCGAAATCTTCTGGTGATGCTTTGTGGAGCATATCTTGTCGTGCGCGTAAATCGCTTAAATGATGCGTTTTCGAGTTGGAATTTGTCAACTGCATTAGGTTGGGAGGATGAAGAAGTTTGGGTTGGAATGGTTTTGGTGCTTATACATAATACGAGCGTCATTTTGGCTTGGTGAAAAAAAGGATATATTGAAGTCATTTTGTCGATTCTTTTTTTTTGGGAAGAAGGAACATAGGTTGAATGTACACATTGATGTGCTGAAAAATGTTTCACATTTCACTGTAAATCCAGGGCTTTGTAGTTTTTCTTATTTGTGCCTAACTTTTGTCATGTTGCTGGTTTATTTAGGTGATGTTCTTGAAATAGTTTTTGAAACTAGAATACATGGAATTAACTATTTAATAGGTAAAAAGGTATCAAAATAACTACTAGTTTTTTTTTTTTTTTTTTTTTTTTTTTTTTTTTTTTTTTTTTTTTTTTTTTCCTTCCTTCCTTCAGAACGATAGAGATTTTATAAAAATCACACAAAGACAAATCCTCCCTATATATAATTTCCGAATGCGATAGAGATTTTATAAAAATCACACAAAGACAAATCCTCCCTATATATAATTTCCGAATGCGCTGAGCCTACGTGGCTGTTTCTGGTGCTTCGGAATCTTATTTGGCGAAGAATCATGCTTCGTAATTAGGTTTGGACAAATAATATTAATATATTAATAATTAATAATCTAGGTTCGAGTATTCCATAAATATTATTTAGCCAACTTAGGTATTTTAATATCACTTTTACTAATATAACCCTTTAATTCTTTGTAATTTTACATAATGATGCACTCAGTGACTAATATATCCCTAAATTTTGATTTGCTTCCTTCAATAAGCTATTGAAATATAAATGTATTTTAAAAGTAGATAACTTTTGTATTTCTTATCGGTTTTACATATATAATTTTTGATGATCTTCGATTTGACATCCATATTGTATATATAAAATAAATAAATTATATTTATCTTTATAATAATAAAAAATAATAATATTTATTAAAATTCATTAGAAAAATAAAATTATTTCTCAATTGATATATTTATATTTAATGTAGTTATATACTGTAAGTTAAAAAATTAGTATGATATAACACAAGTAAGTCGCACAAATTAAAAGTATAATAATAAATATATAATAATATATATATTCTTATAAAATGCATTTAAATTTTCAAACTATTTTTTCTCATTAATTTTAAATTTTAAGAAAAAAATTAGCAAGGACCCGTGTAATATACGGGTGTTGTACTAGTTAACATAAAGTACCAAATTGATTAAGTAAAAACTTAGGGAAACAAAAGAAGAAACAAATATAATTTAGATAGCCAAGCGAACTTTTCTCGTTATTTTCTCATAATTGTTCAGTTATCAACAATTGGAAAGGCAAAGTCTGACTGAGACTTAGACATGGTAATTAATTAAGAGACTTAGACAATTACATCTAATTAAGAGACTGAGACATGCTAATTAATCCACGACTATCAAACATTTGACCAGTCAAGGACGGGGTTCTCTTGTTGGTAGTGCAGCTGGGGCATTTGTACTGCTTCATGTGCTCGGCCCGTGCAGGTGTGATCTTCACGCACTTGCCATGGAACCACCTCTTGCATATATCGCAACAGATCCAAAACTCGTCTGTACCGTAATTTTTGCCACATGCACCACATAGAGTGTCACCATGCTCGTCCTCATCTTCATCTTCTTCATTTGCTCCCTCCTCCACTCGTTCTGCCTTGGCCATTTTGCCCTATAATTATTATTATTTTTTTTTGAAAAAAAATGTTTGCTCATTGGACGAGAAATATGAGTATACGATTGTTAAGGACAGGTCAAAGTGAATTGAAAGAAGCAAATTTTGATTAAAATCCACATAAAACACTAGCGCGAAATGTGCTATAATAGTTATGTTCCAAAACGTTACATCAAACTAGGTTGTATAAAAAAGAACATCCAGTACTTGGACCACAATTAGATTCATATAGTAGTACACGGAGTATATGAAACAGTACGGACACTTTCATGAAACACTGCATGTCCAGAACAATAAAATCAACAAAGGCATTGTCATACCGATTTTGAATTCGACTTGGATTTACTGCTGCCATCGAACACACATGATATTTCCTTCAAATGCTTCTTTGCAGCACCAGTTACAACTTCAAAGATTGTAGGGAGATCATTTATCATGTTGAATAGACGCTTCCTGCACACAGATTCCAAAGCTATAACAAAGTGGTGATACTAGACGAAATTTCAGTTATACTTTACACTTCCAGCAAAAATAAATATTGAAGTTGCATATCGACCAATGTGCATCCCAAACCTCGGTAAAATTGTAACAAATCATCAAGACATCACTTCTATCGATGATTTTTTAACAGAAAACGACGTGGCAAACAAACATGAATTTGATCAATTTATGCAAAGAATGAAGAAAATGGAACACAATTGCATCCACAAAGCACTGAAGACACGGATAAAAACTCCGAGACACACTAGCAAACGACAACTTGGTCGAATATCAAGTCATCTCTCTTGATGAAGTGAAGAATTCCCTTCACCATGAAGTTAAAGAGCAAGAAAGTTCCACAATGAACTAAAGGCAAAATTAACATAAATTATACGTTAAAGAAAGATTAGGGTTGTAAGAAGTTTATAACGCAAGAACAACATTACCTGTCAGCTTTCCCAAAACCAAATCTAACACCAAAGTAGAAAGTAACAGAGAGTAGCCATGCATCACTTTGGCCAGCAACAAGAGCCAACCAGTCCTTTTCTTGCATTCCATCTCGGGCAAAGTTTATACCTAAAGCTGGTTCTGGAAGCTCTGGAGGCAGTTCTTCAGCCGGCACACTAACTTCCCACTGCCCACTAGGAAATCCTTTAAGGCATAGGTTATCCTTCTCTGCAATATGTCCATGTTTTGACAAAGACTTCATCAATTTACTGTATACAGTCCAATGATTTCACAAAGAAACATGTTTCAGGGACTAATTAGTAAAAACCAATGTCATGGATGTCGTTGACAAGTGGATTAGAGCAGTCGATGGTCAAAGATATACAAGGATATGTATTTGAAAGAGCCATGAGTAAAAACCATGTAGTGGCTAAAGGTTGGAAAATATAAAGAAAAGAGCAGGCAAATAATTTTTAAACATGCAGACATTAACTTTTAAAAGTGATAATAAAAAGATATGTGATGATAATGTCACCCAAGTCACAATTAGAATCTGCATAGTATGCAGGCAACTTAGTGACATCATTTTATCCTCCAATAGCAAGCTAAACATTAGTAATAGTTGAAAATAAAGCTATTGAACATTTCAATTCAAACTAATACTAGGATTCATGCAGCAACTGTTTCAAGACTCTGTGTGTATGTGTGTGTGTGTGTGAGAGAGAGAGAGAGTCTGCGTTCATACACAACCATGAAAGAGTGTCAAGAGTAACTAAGTTACTAATAAATTGAGAAGACACACTCTTTATGTAAATTAATTTACTACCACGAAATGCTACTTCAAAAGAATGCACCTTTATCATCAAATCCTACACATACACATATATTTATAAAACACATAACCACAATTTGAACTATAGCTTATAATGTTTCACTCCTAGCCAACTTACACCACCATGTACTCGTTAAAGAACCAAGACAACAAAAACTGACAAACAAACCCCAACAAAGCAACAGCCCAGATTTAAGAACTCATGTGACAATAAACAGACCACAAAATTCGACACAAAGACAAGGTATACTAGATCAATAACCAGTCCAGGATGTAAAAATTTCACGCAGGAAAGCGAAAATAGAACCCCGAGAAGGCGAGAACTCACCAGGATCGCACCGCTGAAAAAGGAGAACAAGTTGATCAAACCACACAATTTTCAGTAAATTTAAAAGGAACAAACCCTTGAACAAACAAAGCCTCTTGAGCTCGAAAAAGAAACAGCAAAGAGAAAAACAACATTACAACTAACAGTGTTCGAAAACCACCAAAAATTGGGGAAACTATGAACATGAAGAGCACAGCCATTAAAATTGTACCTGTGGTGAGAGCTTCGATCAAGCCATTACGCCTGCCCTTGAAATCTCTGAATACATCTTCCACCAAACGAGGATTATAGGGTGCACCACCGTCCATAGATCCTCCGTACACCTCTCACCTCACCTCACCTCACCTGCACCGAGTGTGTTTCGCTGTTTCTTTTGCCGCAGTTGCAAGAGTAGTAGAGCTCATGAGAGGAAGGGCCAAGTGGAAACTGAGGACAAGACTGGAAATTAAGGATTTTAACGGGGACTATTTGGGGATGGCAAAAATATGAAACGTTGGAAGTGGATAAGGTTTGAGGGCGTACACGTTATCTTTATAAGTCGAGTTATCCGATAATTCCATAGCAAAACAGTATACTGAATTCACCATGTACCCTTTAGTATAGAAATGCTCCCATACCCACGGTGGGCACATGTTAATATGCCCACCGCGTAGGTGGCATCCACTCATTGGTGATGTATTTTTTTAAACATATTAACATCACCAATGAGTGGATGCCACCTACGCGGTGGGCATATTAACATGTGCCCACTGTGGGTAGGTGAGCATTTCTCCCCTTTAGTATATGATATTGATTCTTCCATTGACCATGACAATAAAAAAAATCAAATAGTTCAAATCTTTATAGTGTTTGTGCACTGCGTAAGCTTTTTGAGTATAAAAAATTATTTTTTATAAAAGTATTATACATATATTTGCATTTAATAGAACTTGATGGTTGATTCTAAAAATTATCGTAATATTTGAATGAACTCAAAATGATATCTAAGAATTATTTGTTACGAATGTTTTTCAGCACAAAGCACAAAAATAAAACCACAAAGCACAAACTAATCCCCAAGACATAAAAGTTAAAACACCATAATCCACAACCCTACAAAACACAGTCCACCTCACATATAACAACACTTCATCATACATCAAACCACATAAGTTTTCAGCAAAAGGTGAGGAAAGCACAAAAACAAAAACCAGGAAAATCAGAGTCATGAAGCCAAGGATGAATTGCCGAGCCGGTGCATTGTTGCTTGCTCACCGGACCACCGAAGCATAGTAAGCAAAGCCGCCACCTTGCGTCTGGACAGTCATACGAACACTTTCCGTGTCTTCACCAGTCGAGGAAGGGCCCACATTGCAATTCGAGACATCCATTTTCTTGCCGAAAAGAAACGAGCTCGGTGGATTATTGGGCTCAGAACCGGGCTGCTCCTCATGGGCCTTCCTTGTGCTTAGAAAGCGCCCGCCGGACCCCCTAACCCTATTCACCGCGTGCTGATGACGAGACTCGTGCAGGTACGGCTAACACAATTTGTTGGATGAATTACGGTTAAGAAAATCGAATTATAAAATCCCAGACATTTTTTCTAGAGTCACGTGCACGAAGCATGATGACTTACTTTCCTGTTCTTGACGAGTTTGTTCTGAGCCTCGAGCTTGGCGCGTATTTGTCTCCTTCTAAGTATACCATGGTACTGTTTGGCATTGACGTAAATCGGACCATCCTCCGGAATATCGGCCGGCAGAGGAATCCGGCCAGTGGCAGCCGCCATGACCTGCGGCTGAATCTGGTCGAGCAACAATATATATTTGATTGATCCAAAACACTAAAAGTAAATGAATGGAATAACGTAATATTTGGAAAGCTCGGAAATTACTCTCACCATGTTATGCGGTCCGTAGGCAGTATAGAAACCACTAATGTAAGGGTCAGCACACGCATATGGGAACTGCACCTGAGGCACAAAAAGTGACCATTTCACGTCGTATATCGATATTTAACAAAGAGAATAAATTAAACTTCCTTTTACGACAACAACTTACAGTCGGTTGGCTCATTTCAGGTTGTGTGACAATATTCATGGATAGCTCGGGATTTTGTAGAAACAAGGCAGCCCTCATATCATGTGCATACTTCCTGTAGCTCTCGTCATGAACTGAATCGGGCAAAAAGAAGAACCAATTTTTTTTTCAAATCTCATTAGTATTATATAAGTAGTTAGAGTTGCTGTGTGTACATTTTAGAAGATGTTTTGAAGAGCTTGTTAAAACTCTATACACTCTCTAGGCAAGGATGTAATACGGATTATATATAATTCATCTGATCGAAAAAAACCGGTATTAATTAATTACCAGAATCTGATGAAGCACACTGATCTTGAGAAGTTGTTTTTCCCATGATGATGAGATATATATAGGCTGGCCGATTCACTTGAAGAAGCCAACTTATTTTCCGAGTATTCAGCCTATCTACACAAACTGAAGGAGCTTACAGACATAAGCAATAAAAGGCGATTGCTCGGCAATACATACATAAGCGATACTCGAGTCATTTTCTATAATGCTACGTATAGTTATGAATCTCCCTAGCTCCCGAAAGCATTCACAATAAAAGGCAATTGCTCGGCAATACATACATAAGCAATACTCGAGATCATTTTCTATAATGCTACGTATTAGTTACGAATCTCCCTAGCTCCCGAAAGCATTCACAATAAAAGGCAATTGCTCGGCCACGCAATACGAACTAGACTCTTAAAACACATGTTATTTTCAAATAAAAATCTACATAAATATCAAAAAATCATATCATATCAAGCAATAATGATAATAATAATATCACAGAAGGGGTCAGTAATAAGAGTAGCCAGCCACCTTTGGGGAGTTCATTGTCACCTTTGGGGGAGTTCATTTGTCAGGATGCAATTAATAAGAGTAGCTACCTAACTAAATTCAACTTATCAACCATTAAATATCATGTTCAGAGTCCACAGAATGGGCCTAATTTCATTAAAGTCTACTAGGGAAAAGAAGAGAGAAAAACAAATTCAACAACTAGTGACATCACAAACCTAAACCTCCCATAACATATTAAATCATCTTAATAATCACAAAAGAGTATGTGAAGCACAATCTAGTAGTATATATCAACAAAAAAGAAATAAAAAATTTAAAAAAAAAATAATAATAATTTAAATAGAGAGACCCCATATTCAGCTTGCAACAAGTTTCAGATAGAAGCAACAAAATCTGTAAATCTTGCATAAGAAAATCAAGAAACTTTACTAATTCTTGCCCCAACACACACACACACACACACACACACACACACACACACACACACACAGAAACACCACACACACACACACACTCTGGTCAAGAAGAAAACATGTAACTTCATAAAAACAAAAACTTGACAGGATAAACAGGATGCAAAATGCAAAGTAAAATTAGATAGACAGACCCCATATTCAGCTTGCAACAAGTTTCAGATAGAAGCAACAAAATCTTTAAATCTTGCATAAGAAAATCAACAAACTTTACTATTTCTTGCCCCAAAACACACACACACACACACACAAAAGCCACACACACTCTGGTCAAGAAGAAAACATGTAACTTCATAAAAACAAAAACTTGGAGGATCTTGAAAAATGCAAATAGAGAAAATGAGGGGACTTAAAAAAAAAAAAAAAAAAAGATCTTGATAGAGAGACTATAATTATTTGTACAGAGAGAGAATACATATAGAAAGAGAAAAAGATGAGACATGGAGAGACAGATGTAGAAGGAAGGACCTTTAGGATCTGCTGCTGCCAATATTTGGAGGAGCAAACAACACAACTGTTGGGATGAAATTGGGCATGTTTTTTTCTTTCCCCTCTCCAACAAAATCCTCCCCTAAAAGTATTTTCTTTTTCTATGTAACTATTTCCCCCAATAAATTGGTAGCACTATATATATATATATATATATATATATATATATATATATATATGTATATATTGCACAAATAATAAAAGAAAAACAAAAAGAGTAATATGTGTACAAAAGAAAGAAAACAGGGGTACTAAAATACAAGTTATAATAAAGAGCCCCACACTGTCACCCACCACCAGAACTATTGATGGCATCATTCATATTTCATATTGTGAACTCCTTATTTATTTATTTATTTATTTATTTATTTGTGTTTTCTGCTTTCTTCAAATGCAATTTTGTTTTTTAGCGCTTCTTGTTAATTAATGTCATTTTCTGGTCTAGTGGGCCCCTCCATGGAAATGCTTCCCTAGAGGCTCTCTCAGGGGTGGAATTCAAGAAAAGGACGTTTTTGATGTTCAGAAAATGGATTTTTATTAACCATGACCGTGACATCTACTTGGCAAATACATGATTATTTTTTCAAGGGTATTACTATTCACCGTTAAGGGCAAAATAGTAAGGGGAGTACGTAGTAATAGGAGGTGGTGAATAGCGATTTACACGTACATTTTACTAGTATGTCGGCATAGATTCTACGTACAAAACCAATATGTATGTTACTTTATAAATACATTATTAGTATGAATTTTAATTTAATATGTTCGATCAAGTTTTGTGTGATTATATTCAGAACTGTCTTGTTGGTCTCATTTGCATATGTACAAGATGTCTTTGGTCGAGATGATGGAGATGACTCCATGCAACAACAACTTCTTAATTGCGTATGCACATAAGTTGAGACTTCTGATAGGCTTCGAGGTACATCTTATTGTGGTTGTCACTGACAGAGAGTTGAGCTTCATGACTCCTATTTGGAGGAACTTTCTCGAATCTGCTCACTTACTCTGCACGTGGCACATCAACAAGGATGTGAAAAACAGAGTCTACAAACTATTTGGAAAAAATAAAAATTTCTCTCAGAAGTTCACACACGGTAGGTGGAAGGCGATTGTCGACGCCAGTACGTTCGATGAATACAACGTTGTCGTAGCTGAGATGCATGCAAAATACGGGAAGGCGCAACACGTGGTACAATATGTGCAACAAACATAGCTAGTCCACAAGGAGAAGTTTGTGAAAGTTTGGACTAACTAGGTAACACAACTTCCTGTAGGGTGGAAAGTGCCCACTCTGTGTTGAAACAGTGGCTTACCACGTCGACCGGCGCGCTCGATACATTGTGGCAGAAGATTAATAAGGAGATCGAGTCTCAAATGACTGAAATCAGGTACATTCCTCATTTTTAATTGTGTTATTACTGCATTAATTATAATCTAATGTTATGTAATGTATTACCAAGTCAACGCTTGAGTCTTCGAGACTTAGGAGGAATGTGTAGTATACAGGATCCCCTTTTGCGCGCTTGACACTGAGGGTGTCGCATTACTGCCTGAATTTATTGAACTCCGAGCTTACGAGGATGCGAAACTTGAGTTATGAAGTTTACGAGCGTTGCAGCTGTGTATTGCCTTCCACTCATGGAATTCCTTGTGCTTGTCTGCTTCGCACGGCACTTGATTTCGAACTGCCGATTGATATCAAAATGATCCACCAGTTCTGGAGAATACTAGAGATGTTAGAGCTAGGTAATTTAAGATTAATGTTTCATTTAGAATTTTCATCTGTTTTGAATCATTTTAAATTACAATTCATGTAATTAAAGTACATTATGTTGTTTAATTCTTTGAATTTTTATAGTATACTTGTAGGGAAGGATCACTAGAGCCATGCGAGCCAGAGTGCATGGAAAAATGCTCATTTTTTTCGGACGCTTGTCAAAAAAATTGATACGGGCGATCCTGCGACGATGCAGTACATGAATCACCTGTACGGTCAACTTTACCCTGACCAACAAAGTTATGCAGAACCTGAGGTCAAGGAAAATACTCGAGGTAGTCCCAAGAAAACCAATTCAACTAAGCGTAAACCATCGCATTAGGAGTACAAGGATAATTTGCGAGGCACAATATCGCGTACGGTCAAGGTAGTGTCCGAACCGACCGGCCGGGTGCCATTTGGGTTGTCCGGTTCCGGCGGCCGGACGGCGAAAAAATTACCTCGTCGGAAGACGACATTTTGCCGGAAATCACTTGGTACAGTTTCTTCTGAGTTTTTTGAAAAAATGAGAAGGGAAAAATCGTCCAGGAAGCGGTAACTAGTAATAGGGGGCGGTGAATAGTAATGCCTTCTTATTTTGAGCGTAGTGAAGATTTGGTATTCTATTTTAATTTTTAAAAGATTATTAATTAATAGGAGGCGGTGAATAGTAATGCCTTTCTTATTTCTGAGTTTCTTACGGTTTTTCTTCTACGCTTTATCTTGTGCTGAAGGCATTCATAAACCATGAAGAGGGCAAACTTGAAAATAAACAAAATGATTTTCTTTGGAGACTCAAGCTTAGCTTGTACGAAAACTGATCAAAGCCACATAAATGTCACAAGTCGCAAATCTATACTGTACAAATGATTACAACAGAACATTTCCGTTCGAGTCCACCACTTTGTACTCGGCCATCTTCCCAAGCAATGGCATGCAATTCGTTAGTCGGTTAGATACCACATAGTTAGACTCGATACATGATTCACTATCGACCTGCACAAAACATTAGCAAATTCATGGGAAATTAAAGCTTCTTCAACCTTCTCTCTCAAAACACCAAACAAGTGAATCTCGGAATGAACTTTCGAGTACCCGCATGCAGAGTCTGGCCGACCAAACCCAATAAAACCCATCAAAACCACCTCCGATTTGCTCGTCAACCTCCCACAAACCGACCTCCCACAAACACAAACCTATATGTACATTTGCATTCTTACAGTTTCAGCTTAATCCTATCCGACCATTTGAAGATCTCTGAATACACCCGGTCCCCGCCCAAATCCTCCCCACCGGCTCCCGCCGCCACCCGGATGATGTCCTCGATCAGGGCAGAGTTTCCCAGGATGTCTACATGGGCCCCACTGTTTGTCCCCCTGCCCTCGAGCAGTGTCGAGGGAGGAGTGTGTCTGTACTCTCTCACGAAGGTGCGTGTGCCTGAGGGGTTGAACCTCGTCCTTCCCCGCCAGAGCCTGGCGCACGCGAACCCGGCGCTCAGGACAGGGACCGTCTCATCTCCATCCACAGAGTAAACTCCCCCTTTCAGACAGTGGCTGTGGTCCCGGCCCTCGGCCGACGAGTCGATCTGGAAAGGGATGAAGCAGTCTGCGGCAGGGCTGAATTTGTACACGTATGCTCGTTCGGTTGGGATCCCCACTCCATACATCGAGAATATCTCCATGTCGGGAGCATTTGGTAATCTGCAAAAAGTGGGCCACACCAATATTAGAAAACTGTGTGGAAAAAAACAAAAAAAAAAAAAAAACAAATGCTGGTGAGTTACTTTGTCTCGAGGGGGTTTGACCAGTATTTGTAGTGATTGTATTTCTCGTCACTCAGGTTATCGGCTATTCCGTATGAAAAGTGGGCCTCTCCACGCTTCATCATCTTTGGCGCAACGTAGCGAAGCAGATCCAAGACTGAATTAGCTGTGTACAATTTATGATCTGCTACTGCTTTGATTCCCTCGATTCCCATATCGTGGTACTCTGTCCATACAGCACGGCAGGTCATGTTTGCCAAATTTCTTCCTTTCAAAGCACCCTATGTACCCGAAAAAGTCTTATCATAAATAAATGAATTAAAAGATTTTTCTTTGATAACGATGATGGATATTTTGTCTTTTGAAGAAAGTCTGTTTGTATTCAGGATACAGAAGTATGTAATGGTTTAGACAAATGGGTTATTAAGATAAAGAGTACTGAAAGCTTGCCAAAAAGTTACCCGAAAGTCAATACGCTCGATCTTTGATGAATGTAACTCTGTGACATCCTTTCCGAATGATAATAATCTTCCATACTTCATGCTGCTAAAATTGGGCAAATCAGTGGTCTTGCTATGACGTGATTTTTGGCCGTTGATGATTGTCTTCTTTGAATTGCACTTGTGACTTTCTTCAGGGGACCAATCAATTCCACCCCAGATAGTCTCGCCACCCTTTAGTAACAATGACATAGCCGAGTCCCAAGTGCGAATCATTCGCATCACATGCTGCAATGTTTGAAAACCAAATATATCCTTATCCATAATACCTGGCGCAAGGGCCCTGCGTTTGTTCAAATAATTTATCATAAAACAATAATAAGAGGATATCCTTGCTTCAAGAATTGATCAAAAGACAAACTTAATACAGTGAAACAGATTAATAGTGCTAACAAAAATATCTAAAACTGACCAATCAAAAAAGTAAGACATGTGACCTTGCAACTGCTATATCCTTGGCTTCGGCAGAGAACAATGATGTAACTGCCTTAGGAATACCCAGAAAAGGTCCACCGATGTTCATTACAGCCTTTATGTGCCTAGCGCACCAATTTGGCCCACCACCACCCCCCATTGGTGCAGGTGCCTCGACCCATTTCATGAAATGCAAAAAATACAGAGCACCCATTGAATGTGGTACAACCACCACCTTCTTACCTCCATTGGTAGCAACCATGAGCTCGACGTTGCTTTTTATCCTGCTTAGAGTTTGGTCTCGAACCTAGTGGTTTAATATAGTGAAAAAAAAAAAAGACCTCATTCACTAGAGTGCCACAAAAAAGATAAAAGTGCAAAGCGAATAATAACAGCAGCAAACAAGTTTAGCAAAGCTATCATAGATTAAACATCATGTTATGGTACTAGCACAAGGCTGGCCTTCTCAAGAATATAATGGAATCTTCTCATGAAAATGTCTGGCTGACAGCCAAAACTATAAAAGGCCATATCCTTTAAAGATTCTAAAGGGTTTAGCATAAAAGTTTTGTGTTTTACAGTATTAAATATTTGGTGGCTCTATTATCTTATTTACAGTGTTTAAGAAAGAAAGTTGTGAACCTCGGTATTTTGAAACGCCAGCCTCCAATCATAGGCAGCCATAAACATATTTTTGTCTTCATATCCAATATGAGCCAAGTTGGCAATTAAAACTGCCCAAACAAAGTAACCTGGTGCAAAGTAATCAGCTGCTACAAGGCCAGAAACAGGACGGATCTTTATGCCCAGAGGATCTAGCCCAGTTTCATTATTCAGTGACATATGTTCAACCCAGCACAAGGGCCTATTAAATGGTGAAAATATCGGTTAGAGAATATAAATTAAGCCATTTAAGAAACATAAGCCCCCGTAGACAAATTACGGAAGCATACGAAGTATGAATATATAAAACGAATGAGTAATTGCTAAAAACAACATCGTTGATTTTGTTCGAAAGGTCCTTGCTATTCTTTTTCGGATGACCCGAGAAATATAAATGTACACATTACCAAAAGCAAAACAAAAATGGTCCTATTACCAGTGGATAGTTAACAGTTATCTCACATATCCCCGTTGATCATACACTTTGCAAAGTAAATATGAGCAAAAATTTCACAGGGGCATGTAAATACTATCTTCTCTTTTGAGGATAATAATAATTAGTGAGAAGAAGCCATTAAAGACTGTTTCTATCAAGAACTGATAAAAATGAAACTCTATCCAGCCCCTCAACATAAATATGCGAAAGCATGATGCAAATTGAAGTGCACGAAAATGAAACTTTATCCAGTCCACAATCACTTGTTTCTCATCAAGTTTCCATGTTAGACCAGAGAAAGCATTCAGCCATTAAGCATGATAACACTTGAGTCCATAAGTTACTAGTACCATCTTTTCCAAAAATTAACCTCAACAATTGAATAGAATAAACGAGTTTCTAATTTATAGCAAAGTTGACGGCGACCTTCAGAGACAGAAACTATTCACAATATTACATCAGATATTAATAGCACTGGAAAGCTTGTCAGTCACTTCTTCACAGTTAGTTAGCATGCATCATCAACATTTTTCTCCAGTTGTAAAAGCGGAGCTTCAGCGAAGAGTATTATGGTTGTCACTAGCGTTAACTATAGAATTTATACCAAGGTCAATCAACAAAATGAGAAGAATAAATCCAGAAAAAAGTAAACCGCATCCTTAGACCACACCATATGCTTTCATCTGCAATTGAATCGGCTAGTTCCACTATCTGCAGCTAGCATTCATCTGAATGTACAGATA